GGGTTAGGTTTGGGTTAGGGTTGGAGTCACTGCGGGTCATCGCGTGACATATATACACTTTATAGGGACATCTTTAGTAATAGACTCAGTTGTCTATTCAGTCTCAGTCTGAAGCTCTGCTTCATCCAGTATATGCTCTCAAACCATTGTTAGTTACAGTGGCTCAGTCTACAAGTCTAGTACAGTTATAATGCATTAGCCTTACACGTATAAGTCTTAGTATCAGTCATAAGTCAAACTCCTGATCCTCAGTTGTTAGGTCCCTTAACAGTAATAGTAAGCTGGCAGATTAGACAACAGTGGAATTGTGATAGCACAGCATGGCAACCACAGCCACTGCCTGATCTATACTCACTTTACAACAGTTTCAGATACAATCAGATTACTAACCAATCAGCTGAGTGTTAATTAGTCAAATATGATGCCCTGTCATCAGAGTATATTAAGATGTTAACAAATAGATGTGGTAGATACAACATTTGAAACATAGTTTGCATTAGCAGGGCCACAGCAATAATAAGTGTAGGGCAGTTTTCCTGATAGAGTCAATTCAATAGAAAGCACAACTCCCAGATCTTTCCATAGAGGCCTCTATTTCCAATGCAGTGAGTATGTTTTCTGTGCTTTTGTGGTCTTCATAAGTCTGTATTTCTATCTCGTTAGCTCTCCAGGACTTGGCAGGGTATCTTTGCTCTCCTACGCAAAAACATTAGCAGGTCTCACCATATGTTGCTCCGGACAACATAGAGGTCCATGGGGCACTGTAGAGGCCTGTGTATGTGGTGTTTTGCATGTATCAGACAATACGCACTATCGGCTACGTGCCATGTATATTGTGTTGTCTCTTCTACTTCTATGTGGAGTAGAGTGCTGGACGTGAATGGACGGGTACGCGTCTACTCTTCGGACGCTGCTCTGCGCAGGCGTTGTGATAGCTCATGGCTAACTCTGAATCAACACCCCACCGTGCGCGCGCTTGTAGGTGCATCCAGGCTGTGGTATTAGGTTCAATACGATAAGGTTTGATGCGCAGTCCTTCTCCAGACATCGGGGCTGTATTGTCTGACAGCGAACGTTTTATAGGCCGAGGAGTGGGCATCTGAGGAATGGTACACATCTCTTGCACCTACCATCTGCAGATGACGACTCATGACGATTCCGCCTGCAACCTTACCTTTTTCGACGCATATACGAGAGGACAAATTGGCGGCTGGGTCACAAGTCAAGGGAAGAGAGATGTGCTGTGGATTTGGAGACAGTGAGTGCGTGCAATACATACAACATGGGTTATCGTTGAACATTTTGGGGGTAGACGACAAACCTGAATTTTTGGGGTCTATGCCAAATACTGCGCCGCTGGAAGCTGATGTGCCTCTTGGGCATTCGATTCAGCTTCCAATTGAATTGTGGGAGAAGGTGATTGACGTTCTGGCGGATGAATGGGGGGATGACCATTGGAGCTACGAGACATATGAAGCCAGGCTGCATGTACTGGGAAGAGTGTGTCGGGGGTGGCATGCCCGATGCCGCTTTCGTGCCTGCGAGAAGCTCGATGCGGATCGCATGGACAAGAAAGAGGTCTATCGCCTGATCGACGCACTGAAGCAGGATCCGGAGCGATGCCGTGCCATTAGGACGGTCTCATTCGATTTTGGGAGGATGTCGGTTGGTCTGTTCGGGACATTTGCTGTGTGCATGGCACACAAACTGCCCCAGACCGAGCGTCTCACGTTCTGGCAGTGCGAATGGGAGCCTCGACAGCTGCACGTGCAGGTCTTTGTCCACATCACTCTCGCATTCGAGTCGGTCACTGTACTCGAGCTCGACCATGTGCGATTCCCTTCTGCGGTAGTGTTTGGGCGGCTCGTGCGTGCGCTTCCGCGGCTGTCGTCCCTCAAATGCTGGAACGTGTCTTTCGACATGCATGGCGATGTTGCAGGTCGAATCTGGGAATTGCATCCCCTCTGCCTCGATAGCGCCGAATTGTGGAACAGCAATGACGTCGTTGATTTCCTCGTCTTGGTCGGCGCACAACTACGCGACCTCATCTGGCATGATGAGGGCTTGGAAAAGTGCCAGAAGCTGCTCTCTGTGACCGCCGAGTCGCTCTCGTCCATGCACATCGACCTAGCTGATTACGTATTCTTTGAAGGTGAGTCGCAGAGGCCATTCAGTGTCGATGCAGTGCGAGGTCGGTTGACGTCTTCTAGGACTCTTTCCCTCAGACTTTCCAACCGATTTCACATCAGCTGTCAACCTGAGCGTCTTCTCGATATCTTCCGACTTCGAAGACTTGGACGGAGCGGCAAAAATTCTGTGTCGCGCGTTTCTTCCGAAGCTGATCGAGGTTACGATCATCTCAACGTTCGATTATACTAGGACATTGGCTTTCTCAAATTCGTATGCGCTTCTTGACCGGGCTTTCTCCAGTCGTCAGTATCCCGCCTTGAAAAAGGTCACCTTCAAGCTTGACTGGGAGACTCGGCGCAGCAGAGTGATGGAGGTGATATCCGAGGAGTCCTGGGGGAGTCACTTTGCATCAAATCTTCCTGCTCTACATATGAGTGGACGGCTTGTGTGAGTAAATATTTGCATGTGCCCTAGATTATCTCCAAATTCAACAATGCTTCCGTCTGTACTCACTCTTATTCCAGGTGCTCTGTGTCTGTTCTAGTGGATAATGAATGGAAATGATGCTCTCGATCTACCTCTGGCTTCCCTTTTCCCATCTGCGGAGATTCGCTGCCTTGTCCGCTGTCACGGCGCCACCGCATACCATCCATATGGCTCTTTCAAAGCACGGACACGCTGGCGCATTCACTCCACTCATTTATCCTCTCTACGACAGCTGTTCGAGTTTTCGCAACGTTACCTACATCCATGCAATTGATATATGCGTGAGGATCACTCGTCCAATGAGTTCAGCGGTGTGGCATTGAACGCGTGAGTGCATATCTGCATGGTATAGGCACGTTTGTGAGAGCTACCCACGTCATGTTTTACCTACTCCATTGCGAAAAGTCGTAAGCCGTGGGATACGTAAAGCATTACTGTTTTTTTGTGTGTGCAGTCCTCGTTCACTCCACTCGCTCTCACGCGCCGTGCCGCCGTTCATGCAATCGCCGGGCTCTTCGAACGTGTAGTCTTTGATCTCCCTCCCTCGACGCCTCAGCCTGCTCATCGGCAGCTTCAACACTCAATGTTCGTTCGCATTATGATTCCATTTGTGTGCGTGCTTGTATGCAGCTTCTGCGCATTCAGCGCGATGAGGTTTGATAGGCCGCACAAGTTGCTAGTTATCATTGTCATGGGACCTGAGGATAACTGCCCTATAGGCCGGAGAGTGGGCATCACAGACATCGTCGCCTCTCCTTCATCTAGTATCTCCACTTCTTCCTGATATACCATATGACGAGTCGATGTCTGGACCCGAAACCGCGGGAAGGGAGATGCGTCATGAGAATAAAGACAGTGCACATTGAAAGTGTCGCACGCACTCACTATCGTTGGGCTTCGCAGGCACAAGTAGGAATGCCGAACCCTCCAACGTTGAAGTCTCCGGGCTAGAGATTGCCACTCGACCGAAGTCGATGTATCCCTTGAGCATTCAATCCAGCTCCCGATCGAATTATGGGAAAAAGTGCTTTATAATGCGGCGGATAACTGGAAAGACGAGGTCCTGTGCACAAACTGGATGCGGATGGTCTCAGTCAGGCCCACGAGAAAGAGGGTCGATACCTTTGTTGTGTCATTGCAGTGCGCATGGCACAGAAGCTGCCCAGAGTCGAGCGTTTCGCACACCAGGATGGCGAGTGGGTGTCCGAGCGGCTGCACGCACAGGTCTTCATCGATGTAACCCCTGCACTTGGGTCAGTCACTATGCTCGAACTCTTCGAAGCAACGTGCCCTTCTGCCGTCGTGTTTGGGCGTCCAGCGCGTGCACTCCCACTTCTCTCATCCCTCACATGCTGGGGTGTGGGTTTCGACAACCGTTCCGATGTTGTGGGCCAAACCTAGACGCGGCGTCCTCTCCGACTCGACGCCGCCAATCTCAAAGTCAGCAATGACGTCGTCGACTTTCTCGTATTGATCAGCGCACGTCTCCGCCATCTCACCTAGCTTGACCAGAATTGAGCAAGGCGCTCGAAGCAGCGCTTCCTGCGTCCGAGTCGGCTGTTCATGACGCTGTGTGATGTTGCCGGTTGATGTCGTCTGGATGCGTTCCCCAGCCTCTGATTGATCTCACTCCAGCGCCTAGTGCTCAGCCTACCTATCTTGTCATTTACTATCGAGCTTGAAAACATGGCTAGAGCATCGCGCGTCTCTTCCCAGCCTGATCGAGATCGAAGCCAGACTGACATCAACGTAGAGTCAAACTTTGTCGAAATTTCTTGCACTACATGGCAGTGGCCGACTCGTGTCAGTACAACGTTGCATACAGCAGACATGAATTCTGGTTTTCACCTTGCTCCTACTAGTATGCAGTCACATTCTAGGGAGCTCAGCCTCGCTAAACGCGCTTGTTAATGCAGTCTGATAATCGCCCAGAATTTTCGCCTGGATGCATTTTTGCAAGTCAGATGAGCCAAAAGTACGTATGTGGCTAATGGAAAGTCGGACGGAGAGCAGAGGAGCTCGAACTTGCGCCTGGATGACTCAGGAAGGCGAGTGATAACGAAGAAAGGAAATGGGCGGGCCCATGTGCCTCGTGCCTCGCGTCGTGCCGCCATTGTTGTCCTCTTTCCTCGCACAGACTATCCTCGCATTTCCACGCACGGCGTCGTCCTCTACATGTGGAGGTTTTGCTTTCTCCGTGCAACACCATCTCATTGGCTCCACCAAACAGGGACTGGTGCATGTACCTTGGGTCAATCCTCATTTCTCAGCAGACACGCGCAAGCTCTCTGATGGCCTCGCGCCCCACCTGTCGAATATAATGGTCACCACATGCAAGGAGCACTTGGGGCATCAAGGTGACCGACCGTGATATTCAGAAACGGCGCGTAGCCCTCATGTATGTGAGAAGCGAGGGCAGGCTACAGGAGGATCGCATACTTGATGGAAGGTTCTTGAAATCTTGGTGTGTAGTCTCTTTCTCGAATACTGACCAATGATTGCAGGTGTGTGACACAGAACGCTCGAGCATCGCGGCGCAGGTCAGCTTCAGCGCAGCACAAAAGTCTTCCATTGCCCTCGTCCAATTCCTCGTCTCACAGCGTATCGGCGCCCTTGTCTGCTAGCTTCCTTGCGCTCTGAAAGCCCCCATTCTCCAGACATTGACTTGGTATGAACGCACAAGTACACCACGCACCCCGTCTGCTCGACGCGTGGGTGTCTGATGCGGTGTGCAACGAAGCGCACAGCCGGAAAGAATCCTAGTACAAGTAGGCAGCCCCAGCTGCAACCTGTGACTATTCAGACAATAGTATCCCCTCAAAGCGTTTGATTCACGACGCAGCGGAATTTCATGGATCAGCTCTTGACCCACACTCGAGCTGGTCATGAGCCAGGAGATGAGTATAATGTGTACGCGTTCCGAACCGATTCAGTAGAAGCACAATCCCCAGGGTATTTCTGTAGAGGCCCTCATTTCCAATGTGGTGAGTGTGTTTTCTTTGCTTTTATGGCTCTCATAAATCCTATTTGTATGCTTGTGCGCACTTGGTATGACTGAGATCGGCATCGCGTTCAGAGGTGGGTGGTGTGGGCACTTGTCTCGCGAGCGCGCTATTGGTTCCATTTCATTGGCTCTTCAGAACTCGGCGGGGTATCCTTTCCTTCCTGTGAAAAGACACCAACAGGACCCAACGTGTACTGCTCCGGATAACATAGAGGTCCGCGAGGCGTTCTAGAAGCCTGTGTATGCGGTACTTGGCGCGTATCAGAAAATACGCACTATCGACTACGTGCTCATCGGCGTGCGTGTGGTGTATATTGTGCACTCTGCTCTGCTTCGCTGCGCAGTAGAGTGCTGAGCACACGTCTGCTCTTCGAACGCTGCTCTGCGGGCGTGTTGTGACAGTATACATCAATGAAATGACTATTTCCCCAGTAAGGGAGACTTGTTGTATGAAGGAGGAAAAGCTAACTCATGTTAGCTGTCGCCTCTCCCATCTGTTTCCATTGCAAGAGAATCATTTCCTTGCTGTGCCAGCCGTGGTTCAATATCCCAGCGTGCGCGCGCTTGTATGTGCTTACAGGTTGTGATATTAGGTTCAGTACGACAAGGTTTGATAAACAGCTCTTCTCCAGACATAGTGGCTGTATGACCTGACAGCGAACACCTTATAGGCCGAGGAGTGGGCATCTGAGGCATGACACGCCTCTCTTGCGCCCATGATCTGCAAATGACGACTTCGCCTGCAACCATACCTCTTCTACTTGATAAACAAGATGGCGAATCAGTACCTAAGCCAGAAGTCAATGGAGGGGAGGTATGCTGTGGAAATGAAGACGGTGAGT